TTTTTTAATTTGTTTTTAATATTTATTTAATATTGAGTTGTTTTATAGTTAAACTTTATATTTTAATTTAGTTTGTTTTTTTATGATTTTTTTTTACTTCATAAAACATATTGAAAAACTCTGTATATTTATTTTTTTCACTTAAAAAAATTAACCAACCTGCAAGACCAGTAAATTATTTAAATGGTAGTCAAGTAGTAAGAACTTGAGACCAAGGAATTTGCTCTCTTTATGGTCTCAGGTTTAAGTCTTTGATTGCTTATATAATAATAATTAGAAACTTACATGATCGTTAACTTTAGGATCTTTAAGATTAGTTATAATATGCACAAACTGATCCGAATATTCATATTAATTAAAAAAAAAAAGATGCAAAACCAGTATGAAAAATGATATGTTTTTCCATGGACAAAAGTACAAAACGTCCACAAAATTTAATTGGTTACACGTAAATGTATTCGACGTGTATCCATTTTCTTGAATTCGAAAAAGACCGACATACCTTAGACATAAAGAAATACAAGTCCATTTTCCTTTTCTATTTTTTTTTAAATGATTTGGCCTATATGCATAATCTTCTCCGTGGATTTAAAGTTATTTGCACGTGTCTTTTAGGAATTTTAACTTTATGTTTGTGATAATTCAAAAAAAAAAAAAAAACCTTCCACGTTTTTAATTAAGGAGTGGGTGGCAATCTTGACAATGGATTGAACATGTTTGATTCTCGATCTCCAAAAATTGACTTTTGTGTTCGAAATTGCACCCACATCTTCTCGATAAAAAGGACGTGGGGATCCTAGTCTCGAGAGCATGGACGGTGAGAAAGTCCATCGTCGACCGTTCAAACAAGACAATAAATGGCCATTTGAAATTACGTTACAAACAGTGGTTTTTTAAAATTATTTTTTTACATTATTATGATGTACTGTATAAAAAATATATATTATTTTAAAATATTTCTAAATTAAAAAATATTTTAAAAAATAATATTATCACCTCCGCACACCTTATTTAAATAATCATTTTTATTTTCTATTGAGCATAAATATATGATGAATGAAGCATCATGTGAGATGGATTTTCTAGCATATCTTGTTTTTTTATTGTATTTATTGCAGTTATTTTTTAATTAATTTTTTATATTAAAATATATATTAATATTTTTTAAAAAAAAAAATATTTTTGAAATTAATGTATTAAAATGATTTAAAAATACTAAAAATATATTAATTTAAAATAAAAAATTTAATTTTTTTTAAAAATGCTTTAAAAAAAAAACAGGCCCGTAGTGGTGATGGTTGAAAATAAAAAAAATATTTTAAAAAATATTTTTCAAATGGTATATAATATATTGAAATAATTTAAAAACATGAAAATAAATTATTTTAAATAAAAATAAAATAAAGTTTTTAAAAATACAATTTATACCTACGTTTCCAAACAGGTACTCAAAAGTCATTAGTACACAAATCACCATTCCATGAAAGTCCTGATTCTGATATCCATGATTTTCACAGTAAGAAAGGCCAATTTCTCTCTTTAGATAGAGAAGGCAGTCGTGAAACATCTGGTCAAAGATAGGTGTTGATTGCCCTGATTTGCCCTGCCCTTTCGCGGCCTGTCCCGCTGCTATGCCTCGTGAAACGCGAAAACTCCCGTATTTCAGTCTGGAAAAGCTCCGTTTCTTTCTGGGTCGGTCAAATTCATACAGAATTTGATAGACTAGTTAAATTCTATAGGATTTATTTAATTAATAATTATGAATAAAATTTTAATGCCATTCCTTAATTTATTAGGTTAATTAATAATTATAAATAAAACGGACTACAACTAGTTTATTAGAAAGCGTTTGGTTACTATTTAAAGAAATTAAAGACAAAAAATATAAAACAAAAGAAATTGAAGATGGAATTGTGTTCGTAGTAATATACAAGTAGTGATTACTATATTTATATCTTATTTGGTTATAATGAATAAAATATAATTAAAAAAACAATTTACTTTTAATAAATATTATTGTTAAACTTGTATATTTTTTTAAAATAATTATATATTTATTTTATTTATTTTAGTTTATAACGAGTGTTTAAATTAATAATATTATAATAATTTTAAATATAAAACCTGGATTAGCCTAGCAAGTTGACCTCGGACCTAGCAGATTTGAGCCGTAGATCGTCTCGAGTTTAAAAACATAAAAAAATAATTTTATTTATTTTCATCTTATTAAAAACTTGGATTGATTTGAGATAAAACACAAGTAAAAATTCATAGATCTTTTTTTAATTTTTTTGTTAAAACAAATTTAAAAAAAAATAAAATTGAGTTAAATAGAGTCAACCCGTGACTTGGTCATTGTATTGGATTGATTTTTATGTCGATTTTAAAACTATAATAATAATCATTTTTATTCATAAGTTACTTTCTAATACTTAATTTAGGCATGGTATAGAATCGACTTCTAATTTAAGTATTAAAATCGACTCAAAAATCAACCCAATAGTTAATTTTTGTCCAACTTAAATAAAATTAAGTTTAATTCGACAAGTAATCTTAGTAGTAGAACTAAAATTAAGATTATATATAATTTGAGGGACCAAATAATAGTTTGAGTAGAGACGAAAGTAAAAGAAATAAGACCACACAACATAGCCCATGTAGGAAAGAGAGAAAAAAGAAGAAGAAAGAATAAGAGATGAAAGTCGCACAGAAATTCTTATTATTACATCTAGAAATTGTGGTGTGCTAGCGCGTGTAATGCACACAATAATCAAATTTTATCACTTTCGTAACGCATGGACCACGCATGCTAGATCAAATAAATATAATTTTATTGTCATGTGTATCTCGCATGACAAAAAAAATTTATTCTTTTATGCAATAAATAAAATAATAATATAATAGATTAAAAAGAGAAATTAATACTGGGAGCTGGAGATAGAGATTCGTGATTTTTTTGAGAAAGGAAGAAGTCCCAACAAAGTTAACAAAAAAAAAAGAGTTCAATAGATTAAAACCAAAAACCCTTTTAAAAGAAAATGGAGTTCCAGAAGGAAAGGAGGTAAATGGGGCTTTTGACCTGAAAAGCAAAATTTCAAGAGCAAAAACCTTAGCAGCTGCAAACTGATTGATATTGTTGCCTATAAAACGAAGGGCTACACTTCGACTGCTCCGTTCAAGGATTCGTCTAAGATTTACAGATTACTTTAATCAACATTAAAAGAGGGTAAGACCACCTTACCGTTATTGATTATAGCTGACAAATTACATAATCTTCTAGATAGTAATTAACTGGCCAGTTAACCTCTCGTTAAATCCATGATCAAAACGAGGGAACGACACCGTATTGGGTATCGGCCATGAAAGGGACAGAGCTCGGGGAGTTAAATAGGTTGTCCGTATCGGATTCCATTTCGGTTCGTTTTGCAAATCGGCCTTTGATTCTCGGTCTGGTTTCAGCGTAAGCTTTTCGGGAAGCATACCGTATGGTCTTTTCGAACTTCCGGTTCTTTCTTTTCTCTTTGTACCTCAAAACTCTAGCTTCACGGTCAATCCCAGCTAATTGAGTTGCTGCTTGATACGCAGTACAGCCCGAGAGGGGCATGCTTGGATCGATAGTAGTATTCATGCTTCGGCTAAAAGGATAGGATATGTCGGACATAGAATTCCCATCAGGAACAACACCAACATCTAGGGAAGACGGAGAAACCTGAAAAAAAATCAAAGAAACTTTGTCAGCATCTCTCCAAATTATGAAATCCTAGTTACAAAGGCGCTTATATATATACACATATATAAAATTCTTTAGAGCTTTAATCAAGCAGGTTTTGGTACTTACGCTGTGGCTACGAGACTGAGGTGAGTAGTTGAAAGAAGTAAGTTTCGATCTACAGAAATCAATATCAAAGCAACTTTCATGATTAATCACCGGAAGCGGAGCTGGTTTGGTTTGCACAGGCACAACGCTATCAGCACCAGCACCACCATGAATCTGCTCATAGCTCTCATCAATGGAATTCTGATACTTGAATTCAAGAAACGGATCAATTTCGGGGAAAAACATGTCTCCAGTCTTCACGACAGGATTCTCGATTCGGAGCTTTGAATTATGGTCATGTGTTGTGTGATTACTCTGTGACAGCCACGAAACACCCTCAACATCATTGTTCTGATCATATCCAGACACACCATTTTCCCCAGGTATTAGAATACTGAAGGCCGTGGAAGTCTTAACAATTGATTCAGCAGAGTTATAAAAGGGCTCGACGGGGACTCGTTCATGACGGCGAGCAAGAGGGTTAGCAGAGTGGATGTCAGCATCACAAGTAACACAAAGAGCAGCTGCATCAGCTTTGCAAGTAACCGCAGCTGGTGCTTGCTCGCAGACCTCACACATCCACACACGCTCATGCCGGGACATGATTTTGCTATTCACCTGGCTATGGTGAATCTTGGTATCACAATTCAGACACAAAAAAGCAGAGTCGGCCCTGCAAAACGCAGCTGCAGCCGCGGTTTTGCACGAGTCACAACGTTTAGCCCCAACACTCCATCCTCCGGTTAAGTTCTTTAAGCTCTCGACTTCAATTCCCATGTTTTTTCTCTCCCAGTTTCTGATCAAATAAATAGGAAAACCGAAAACTTTTTTTTAATATTTTTTTTAAGGGGGGGGTGCTTCTTTATTCTCCAAACTCCCGCAAGAGAGAGTTATCGAATTGGTGGTTTGCGATTTGTGGGGGCTATAAGAGTAAAGAGTCGGATGTGTCGATCGTAATTATCTTTCTTAAGTCTAGTCAGAGGAAAGGACAGCTGGGTGCTGATAAGGAAGAAGAGAGCACGTGGAGAGTTCATAGCCAAGTAAAAAGGTTTCTTTCTTTTTTTTATTTGTTAAGACAAATAACATGTTTCGGGTTTGGGTTCTTTCGAGGATTTTAATAGTCTTTGTGAGAAGTTGTAGTCACGTGTCCGTGCCGACGTAGGACCCATTTGAGCTGGGGAGACTCGAGGGAGATGATGACGGTGGTTGCAAAACTTATTGTTTGCTTTTGCGGGGCAAGAATATTTTTGAAAAAGTTATTTTTTTATATTATATTATTTTAATTTTTTTAATATATTAATATGAAAAATAAATTTTAAAAAATGAAAAATATTTTAAATAACAACCCTAAAAATAAATTTTAAGAAATAAAAAATATTTTAAATAACAACCCTTACAACAAAAAAAACAGGGTATCAAATTAATGGACTTTGATTCCATATGCTGGCCCATGTAAAAATCGCGAGATGGATGGTAAAAAAGTAGAAATCTAACCACTGGGTTTGGGCCATGGCGCATACAGAGTGAAATGAAGCCTGCACTCACTCTTTAACCCGATGCATTTCACCGCACTCTGACATTATTCACTCCGTGCACGGCCAAGCAGCCTTAAATTTCTCTCACACGTCTTAAATCTCTCTTACTTTTTCACAACTCCATTGTCTAAATAGACTTTCTTGCAGTCCACTTGGACCCGCGCACCCCCTTTCTTCTTCTTCTCTTAGTTTGACCTAAAGAATTCTTGGCTTCTACATGTATCTTTTTAAGTTCCGAGGAGTCAGAACATGTGTCGCCCTTTCCTTGCAATCAATATTTTTAATGATTAAATAACATATTTTATGTTATCTTCTCTTCAATTACATATATTTATACAAATTTGGTATATATATATATATATATATTTTTTGTTAATGGTCAAACGCAAACAAACATCATTTTCAAGGCAAATCAGACACTTTATTTGCAGACTAATGGTTATTTTAAGCCAATATATTACTATCAATCATCTACTTACCCCCTCCCCTCATGAAGTGAAAGACACAACAATTAAAGATGGAAACCGATGTTTGTACCAACTATTATCTAGCAGCTCTACATCTCATGAGGTGAGTGAGAGACGTGACCAATTTCTATTAATATTTTAGATCTCTAGATAAACAAAACAAGTTATCATGAATCACAATTTCCTCATATTCAATGCTTTACTCTTATTTTTGTAGTTTTCTTATATTTTTTCTATATTTACTAACTTACACATAAAAAAGTCTTTCATTTTCTCCTATATTTACTGAATAACGCATCAAAAAGTTTTTCATTTTATAAAGGATTTATTATTTTAAAAATATTTGAGTCTAAATACTTAAGTTCGTAATCAGTCTATGTCTTGATCAAAACATTTTTTATTTTATAAAATATTTATTATTTGAAGAATACTTGAACCTAAATACAAAGTTCATAATCAGTCTATGATTTAAGCCAGTATCATAGGTCGTGAAAAACTTATTATGTGTGTATAAAGTTTTTTCATGAGTTCATCAATAAAAAAAAAATTATAGAAACAACAATAAAAGTTTTATTCTCAGTTTTAGGTAATTGATTAAAAAATAAAATAAAAATAAAGCTGAAATATTTTTTATTAAAAAAGATATATTATTTTTGCTCATCATATATCAATTACTCTAAGCATTATTTTTTTTATTTAAATTAACGTGAGTGTCCGGGTCAGCTTGCGTGTACCACGACTAATCCCACGGGCCCTGAAGTTAACGACCATGTAAGCCTCCAGTGGTCATCATATGAGCAACCAAGGACTCGAACCTGAGACCACAGAGGGAGCAAACCCCTTGATCCCAAGTCCTTACCACTTGACCACCACCTAGATGGTTTACTCAAAGCATTATTATCATTATTGATGGTGATGATGATAATATTTGTTTTTCAAAAAATATATTATTGTTATTGGTATAATTGTTACTATCACATCATCACTTTTTATTATCATTTCTATCATTTTTCTTTCATCATTATCACTGTTATTCCTTTTTCACTCTATCTTTTAAGGTGACAACATTACTTTTGTAAAATATATTAATTGTTTAGTATTTTACTGTCACTGCCATCATTTATTTCTCTTTCTTTTCCTTCTACACAACTAGTATAATTACTTTTATTATTGTTACTACTAATATTATTTTGATATTTTTATTTTTAATATTAACACTTCAAAATCATTAAAAAATACCTAAAAATATTAATTTGATGTCTTTTTAGATAAAAAATAATTTGAAAAGTAAGAGCTACTATAGTGCAATACAAACTCTAAATAACAATATCCACACATGATTGCATGCCTAACCAATATGTATTGAGTTGGAGAAGTTCTTGCTTTCATGAACAACAACAAAAATTTATTAAAGTGACTTTACAATCTTTCTAGTCATGTGTTTGGATAAATATTTAAAAAATAATTTTTTTTTCATGATAAAAAAAGAAGATTTAATTGAAAAATTAGAAGTGTTTTTAAGATTTAGCACGGTAACAAGAAAAATTAAAAAAATAACATAGTCTAAAAAATATTTCTGCATATCTTTTTCCTACTAATGAGTTGCATGTGAATCCAAACAAATTATAACCTTGGAATTAGTTTCTTTTCTATTTTCCCCTCTCCTTTCATTCTCTTCCCCAGCCACAATTGCAACCCCTCATTGCCCAACCTACTCTCTTTTCCTACCGCCAAACACGCTCTCTTTACCACGATACCATCCCTTTCTCTACACTACGACAATGTAAGCTCCCCCCCTTTCTCCACCTGTGGCTTTTATCTCTGTCGGTTGCCATTGCCAGCACTCGTCATCATCATCACCTACATTAGAGGTATATTTCACACTTTTCCTATATCAAACAAGTTATCATGAATCACAATTTCCTCGTATTCAATATTTTACTCTTATTTTTATATTTTTTTATGTTTCTTTTATATTTATTAACTTACACATAAAAAAAATTATTTTCTTCTATATTTAATGACTAACGCATCAAAAAGTTTTTTATTTTATAAAGTATTCATTATTTTACAAATACTTGAGCCTCAATACAAAGTTTATAATCAGTCTACATCTTCGACAGTATCATAGCTCATGAAAAGCTCATTATATATGTGTGTAAAGTTTTTTCACGAGTTTATCAAGTAAAAAGAATAAAATTATAGAAACAATAATGAAATTTTTATTCTCAGTTTTAGATAGTTGATTAAAAAATAAAATGAAAACAAAAATGAAATATTTTTTATTAAGAAAGATATATTATTTTTGCTCATTATATATCAATTACTCAAAATATTATCATCATTATTGATGGTGATGATGATATTTGTTTTTCATTTTTAATCTTTGAATTTTTTTTATTTTATTTGATCTTTTATTATCTTGATCTTTTTTTCCTTACTTGTCATTTCACTCCTTAATCATATTTTCTTTTCTTTTGTATTTTTATAAGAAAATTAGGAACCATAACATTATTATTATTATTATTATTATATCATCACTTTTTATTACCATCTCTATCATTTTTCTTTCATCACCATCACCGTTATTTTTTTTCCACTGCACCTCTTAAGGTGACAACATTAACTTTTTAAAATATGTTAATTGTTTAGTATTCTATTATTACTACCATTATTTATTCCTCTTCCTCTTCCTCTTTCTTCTACACAGCTAGTATAATTACCTGTTACTACTAACATTATTTTGATATTTTTATTTTTAATATTAGAATATTAAAATTATTAAAAAACATCTAAAAATATTAATTTAATATCTTTTTAGATGAAAAATAATTTAAAAAGTAAAAGCTACTATAATGTAAAACAAACACTAAATAACAATATCGGCATATGATAGCACGTCTAACCAATGTATTGAGTTGGAGAAGTTCTTCCTTTCATGAACAACAAAAAAAATTTATTAACGTGACTTTACAATCTGTTTAGACATGTGCTTGGATGGATGTTTAAAAAATAATTTTTTTTTCATGATAAAAAAAGAAGATTTAATTGAAAAATTAGAAGTGTTTTTGAGATTTAGCATGGTAACAAAAAAAAATTAAAAAAATAATATAATCTAAAAAATATTTTTACATGTTTTTTTTGTGACCCGTCAGTTGCATGTGAATCCAAACAAATTATAACCTTGGAATTAGTTTCTTTTCTATTTTCCCCTCTCCTTTCATTCTCTTCCCCAGCCACAATTGCAACCCCTCATTGCCCAACCTTCTCCCTTTTCCTACCGCCAAACACACTCTCTTTACCACGATACCATCCCTTTCTCTCCACTGCAACAATGTAAGCTCCCCCCCTCTCTCCACCTGTGGCTTTTATCTTTTTCGGTTGCCATTGCCAGCACTCGTTATCATCATCATCACCTATATTAAACACTTATGTATTTCACACTTTTCCTATATTAATTTCATATAATTTGTTCTAATTTATGTTAATTGTTAAATTTGATTGTTTTAAGGTTTACAATTAAAGTTTTTTAGTTTCTAGTTGTCCTAATTAAATTACTTGTTGATGCTGACAATATTTAGAACAAGTGTTGTAAGTGTATTTGGTCATGCAATAGGGTTATTTAAAAATAAAACATCTCTAATAACTAGTGTTATAAGAGAATTTTGGGAAATGATTTACAGTGATGAAGCAAGTTGTCGCTATGGTATACATCATTGACCATGTTCACATCTTATTTTTTTAATCTTTGAATTTCTTTATTTTATTTGATCTTGTATTATCTTGATCTTTTTTTCTTTACTTATCATTTCACTCCTTAATCATATTTTATTTTCTTTTGTATTTTTATAAGAAAATTAAGAACCATAACCAGTTGCACTGTTTGAAAGATGTCTTCTCTTTTTAATAGGTGAGGACATATATATAATAGCATAATTGTTAAACATTACTTGATAGATTAGTTCAAAAATATA